TATTTCTTTTTATAGACAAAAATATGACATGGTAAACAAATATGCAAAATTTTCAACAAAGGTAATATTTCATAATATAAATAATAAAGATGATAGGGTTTTTTATTTAAAGAAATATTATCAAATATCGTTTGATTTTTTATATGAAGTCTCGGGGAATGTCTTGGGAAAAATGATAGGATTGTGTATCGCAGTTTATAACAAGAGGTGATTGATTTATCATTCTTTTTTAGTTTTGCCTTGGTTTATAGAGTAAGATATAGAAAATGAATCGTAATCTTATTAGGAGTAAATGTGGATGACTGACAGCTTTGGGAGACATGTATGATGCATGTAACAGCAGATTAACAACTGACAATAAACTACCAACTATTTTAGAGAAATTGAACATTTCAACTATTTACATTTTAACATAAGGTAATAAGACCAAATCTAAATAAATAAATAGTGTGGGACGTTTCAGTAACAGCATTGTTACCGAAATGTCACACACTATTTATTTATTTGGAAACTTAAGTCTGGTCATCTACAGAAAATGACTTTCCAGAATGGTTGCAAGGTTTTCCCACTATGTATTAAGTGCAATTCTCAGCCTGCAACCCCAAGACATGTTATTGACTGTATTGACTCATCCATTGATGAGCTCTACTCTTCCCCGGCAGACACCATCAAAAGTCTCAAACTTTACAAGCTTGATACCTTAGTGTGATTTGGGTGGAGATAAGAAAGAAGAAGATTTATTCAGATTTGGTCTTATTACCTTGTGTTTATAGTCTATAATCCAAATTGTGCCTTATTATTACATTTTAACATGTTATACTTAAAAAAAAAAAAAACAGAGATTTTATTCCATAATAGCAATTGTCAGTGCTGTAATACAAAATTTGGTGAAATACATATTTTTTTGGACTTGTAAAACGTGATTGTATTATTCCATGTTAGACATACTGGCAATATAGGGGAAAATAGTTCCCTATTAAAACAATAACTTGAAATAATCCAATTTGACCTATTCGAAACTAACCAAACCTGAACTATCCTAATTTAACCTATCCAAAACTAACCTAACCTGACCTATCATTGATATATTAGTCTATAGAACTCAGTATCTTCCCAAAAATTTAACTGAATCTAAACTAATTATAACCTGATAAGGCACCATTTGGATCATAGATTATAAACACAAGGTAATAAGACCAAATCCAAATAAATAGTGTGTGACATTTCGGTAACAACATTGTTATCATCTTCAGACAAAAGTACTGAATGATTCATGATCATGAATGGATTTAGTACTTTTGTCTGAAGATGGTAACAATGCTGTTACAGAAACGTCACACACTATTTATTTATTTGGATTTGGTCTTATTACCTTGTGTTTAATTCTAACATACACCTCTGGTCCTTAATTCATATAACCCACTTGACATTTTTATTAATAAAAATAAACTCTTTGATAATTGCTCCATAATCATATATTTAATTACAATTATATCCACAAAGTAATAAGACCAAATCCAAATAAATAAAAAAATTGTGTTTTTTCCACTTTTAATTCTAAGAATAATATTCTGTGTTTCTCAGAAAAATATCTTCTTCTTATGTTATCTTGTTTACACACTTGATAACAGTAACTATTTAAAAACATGTGGTAAAATTTCTCATTCAGTACTTTTGTCTGAAGATGGTAACAATACTGTTACAGAAACGTCACACACTATTTATTTATTTGGATTTGGTCTTATTACCTTGTGTTTATAATCTATAATCCAAATGATGCCTTATCTACAATCTTCTTCTTTATCTCCACTCCTTATCTCCACTCAATCACACTAAGTTATCAAGCTTGTAAAGCTTGAGATTTTTGATGGTGTCTGCCGGGGAAGAGTAGAGCTCATCAATGGATGAGTCAATACAGTCAATAATATGTCTTGGGGTTGCAGGCTGAGAATTGCACTTAGTACATAGTGGGAAAACCCTGCAACCATTCTGGAAAGTCATTGTCCGTAGATGACCAGACTTAAGCCTGGAAATCAAAGACTGATTTATCTACAATTATATCCATTAACCTAACCCCAAAACTAACCTATTTATAAATAATATAAAAGAAGTTAGTGTGGAAAATAGTACAAAAATTACTAGGATCAGGTGGATAAATTAAGGCTTCTCCTAGTTGTGAAAGTTTATGATGGCTTGTACCATTTATTGGACTAAATATGAACTGATGGTTGATTTTAATTATTACAAAATTGGCCAGATACCCTTTCTTAATTGTTGTTTCTTATCCCTTTGTGCAAAGATTACACCAATTCCATGAGTTCATGATCTCATGGAATGGGGTATAAGGGTGCAGCTTCCGTTGATCATGGCATCATGATCCAGGCACACTTTGGTGAAAGTCTGACTTTGCCTGTAATTTGAGGCCGTTCCTTACATGGAAGCCTTTACTGCCGACTCTAACATGAGTACAGACGCAGCTCCTCTGTATCCCTGGAGTGGGACCATTGCTGAGGTCCATCAACCGGGTCAGTTGAACTCAGGTTTTTAAATTCTTAATTAATCAAGAAAAGCTAATCACGTACACATTTCGGGTTGTTGACCCTCATCAAGGTGGTGCAAGTTGTTAGGCCAAAAAGGCAGGCATCAAGATTGGTGCTCAGAGATTCTTTTGTTGGCATTTGATGACATGGGTTGTGTTAAGTAAGGGACACCTGGGGTAAACACATTAGGGATTTAAAAGAAGAAAAAGGCATATCTTGATCGTGAAGCTAAAAGTTGCTGATGGTTTACGCTATTTATTGGAATAAATATCAAGTATTCATTGATTTTTAATTATTCCAGAATTGGGGGGCCAAATACCCGTTCTTGATTAATCAAGAAAAGCTAAGCTTTCGGGCTGTTGGACCTCATAAGCATGGTGCAAGCTATACCTAAGAGACCCAAAAACTGGTCATTCAGGCATCCTTAAAAATAATGAAATAGGTAGTTATGGCCAGAAGTGCGTGAGAATGCCAAACAATGTGAAAAGATAGTACAAAAGTGAAATGGTATATTATCCACCTGATTCCAGCGCAATTTCACTTGCTCCAATGGCCCCCGATTCTTGCAAAAGTCCAACCCCACCAGCGAGTGCAAGTAACCAAACGGGGCTCTGGCACATTTGTAAGTGAAAAGTCGAACTGCTTTTCACATGTGTAGACATGTGGTGCACTTACAGTAAAATCAGTCGCCTTCTTCTACCCACCATGATTATCATGGCTTGTATCACGTGTACTAGGGATAAGCAAAAATAAAATTTCACTTTTGTACTTTTATTTTTTTCAACTTTTAAAAAGTTGGTTTAAAGTGTCTGTGCACAGATCATGGAGGACTCCAAGCTGATACAGGTGCGGGTGGCACTGAGGTGTCGCCCCCTGGGGAGGAAGGAAGTGGAGGAGGGGGCCACCAACATCCTGAGCTTCACACCCAACCGCCCCCAAGTGTCCTTGCAGAACAAAAACTTCACATATGATTACGCCTTCTCCCCCAACTCCACACAAGACCAGGTCTATGGGACAGCCGTAGAGGGCTTGATTGATAACCTCTTTAGTGGTAAGTTTGGTTGTTTCTCCATATGGCTCTCATGTCTTAAACCATGGATTGGTAATGGAAGTTCTGGTGAATAAAATGGATGGAAAGAGTGGTAGGAAGAATTGGAGCTCAAGACACTTGGGACTACTGGAGGCCCAGAACTGCTCAAGAGCAGATAAAGTGAAGAAGAAAATAACTAAACATGGCCTACACTCACTGAGTTTCAGCAACAAAAATCATTTATTAAATAAAAAATAAACTATAATTTATAAGGTGTAAATACAAGGTAATAAGACCAAATCCTAATCAATAGTGTGTAAGATTGTTTTTGGTCTTATTGCCTTGTGTTTATAATCTTTAATCCAAATTGTGCCTTATCAATTTATAAGGTGATTAACTCAGTTCCACAATAAAATTTTGTTTTCCTACAAAATTTGATTACAATTCAGGCGTATAATTCAGTTTATCTGCTCTTTACCATGACCTTGTCTTCAGGGATGCTTCTATAATGTCTCATCCAGTCCAATTCTTCCTATCCATTCTCTTTTTACTCTCCAGAACTTTCTTTATCAATCTATTTCCTCTTACTTCATGTCCCATTCAATTCTGGTGTCGTATTTATGACACTCCACCTTCCTCAAGTTCTACCTCAAGTTTTCACTCCTGATGAAGGTGGGTGGCATTGACTGAAAGACCTTGATAAAAATTAAAGGATTCTCTTTATATGCAGAGTTGAATATTCATTCAAAATGTTGGTATTTAAAAAATGTAATAACAGGATTAATTTCATTTATTAATTACATAGTAGGTCAGTCTTTGCATATTTGGGATTCTAGGGATCTTAACAGGATTAATTTCATTTATTTTAAAGATCCCTAGAATCCCAAATATGCAAAGACTGACCTACTTCAGACCTATAATGAGAGAAAATGGTATAGAAAAGATGTTGGGAAATTGAAGAAGAAGGAAGAGAGGAAGGCCTATAATGAGTTGGCTGGAAGGTCACTAGATGTGAGTGTTGGTCACTAACATTGGATAATATTTGTCCATAGTGTCACCGATAAGTTGAACCTAATGATGGTAACAATGACATTTTAAAACCCAAGTTTCATAGATAGCACCATGTACCCATTTTGAATGCTACGAGGTCAACTACGAAAGGATCATTCAGCTGTGTTCTCATTTAGGGACTTTTTTTTTTTGCTTATTCCTAGTACACGTGGTACAGGCCATGATAATCATGGTGGGTAGAAGTAGGCGACTGTTTTACTGTAAGTGCCCCACATGTCTACACATGTGAAAAGCAGTTCGACTTTGCATTTACAAATGTGCCAGAGCTCCGTTTGGTTACTTGCACTCGCTGGTGGGGTTGGACTTTGCAAGAATCAGGGGCCATTGGAACTTTTTTTTTTTAAGTGAAAAGAAAAAAGTGTCCGATGCGGGAATCGAACCCGGGTCGTAGTGGTCGAAAGCCAACAGTTTAAACCATCCTTCCACTGACCCCCAAGGGACTTTTTAACACGGTCCAATTGGGGGACCATAACAAGGTGTCCCCTCTAATAAAATATATACAGTAGTCCTCCCTGTAAAGGACACCTAATTGCAGAGTCAGAATGTCCCTTAGGGAGAGGTGTCCTCTCCAGAGAGTTGCTAAATTATAAAAATGGTAATTTTTAAAATGAAAACTGTCCTTTGTGGAGAGGTGTCCTCTAGTGGGGTGTCTGCTAAAGGGAGGTTCTACTGTAGTTGAACCTTGCTATAACATCACTTGGAACCTAGATTTTATGTTGTTAAACATGGGTTACATCTATTTGGACTTAAGGCTTGTATATAACCAAGTTGTTCTTATAAAGGAATCTATTGTAACCAGGTTCCACTGTATTTTTTAAGAGATCAGGTTTGTTGCCCAAACTCTTTTATTTACTTTGAAGTGTGCTTCTGTCAAAAAATGGCCTAGAAAACTTCTGAGAAGAACAGCTTCACTTTTCATTGTCATATTTTCGTTAAAATCTTTTGTTAATACAATGATGAAAGTAGAAAAATATAATCTCAGGATTCAGATAGGCATCTACACATCTCTCTTTTTATTTAAATGTATAACATCATTAAATTACTAATTGATAAGGCACAATTTGGATTATAGATTATAAACACAAGGTAATAAGACCAAATAAATAAATAAATAGTGTGTGATGTTTCGGTAACAGCGTTGTTACCATCTTCAGACAAAAGTATTGAATGGGAAATTTTACCACAGCATGTTTTTAAAGACTTACTGTTATCAAGCGTAAACAAGATAACAGGTAAGAAGAAGATAGTTATCTGATAATATTCTGTGTCACACACTGTTATCAAGTGTAAACAAGATAACAGTAACTCTTTAAAAACATGCTGTAGTAAAATTTCTGATTCAGTACTTTTGTCTGAAGATGGTAACAACGCTGTTACCGAAACGTCACACACTATTTATTTATTTGGATTTGGTCTTATTACCTTGTGATCATTAAATTACATTTAAATAGAATAAATAACCCATGCAAGGTTTTAAGAAGTTGGTCACATCAATTAAAAAATGTACAAAAAAATTATATAAAAACTGACCCAAATGCAAAACCTTGCCTGACACCACAACATTGTCGAATCTTTCTTTCATCATCGTAACAAAAGGTTGTTGTTGTTGTTGTTGGGTTCTGTTGGATAAATGGAAAAAGATGTAAGATGTGACTTAGTAAAAATTTCCTTACTATAATATACGTGTGTAGCGTTTCAGTAACAGCGTCGTTACCATCATAGGAATAGTGTGTGATATAGAGATAAACAAATATAGAACTTAAACAGCTAAAATTATATTTGGGAAGATAAAATATCAGATAATATAGCCCCAGGCCAGCCAAAGGGGAAGATCTCCCAGGGGCGAAAAAATGGGGGGGGGGGGGGGGGGGGGTGTTGAATGTATAGTCTCGGGTTTCCGGACTAATGACGGACTAATGACGATGAGGCCCCTGGTATGTGAAATTCCAACTTTCATCCTCCCCCTTCTACGAACTGATAAGAGAGATGGGGGGGGGGGGCCAGGTGTCAACTGTCCTTTGAAGAAAAAGGACATTTTCTGCCCTGTGGAATAGAGTATGCCATTATATGTAATTCAGATCTTATATGGAAACTCCCTAGTATTGTAGCCATATTAACCCTTAAGCGGTCGCAATGGGTAAAAATTACCCAGAAGGAACTTTTCGAAAATATTTCTATATTAAAAAATATATATATTTAAAATATATTCTCAGTACCTTTCTAAAACTATCTAAAGATTATTATAATAAACCTATAATTTTAATTTTATGACATATTCGTTTTATTAGCATGTTAGGGTCAATTTTACCCAGTGCGACCTTTTGAGTTCTCGTCATTGCCTGTAATTTGAGGCCGTTTCTAACATGGAAGCAGACGCCTTTGCTGCCAACTGTAATATGAGTACAGATGCAACTCCTCCATATTCCTGGAGAGGGACCCAGCTGAGGTCTTTCAACCGGGTCAGTTGAACTTTGGATTTTTGAAGAGGTCTTTCTCCTAACAATGCTGCTGTTGGTCTGCGACTGCTTATTTGTCAGAGTTATTCTGCTTGTTTCACAGCTGGCCTTCATATCTGAAGGTCATTCCCTTGGGGACGTGCCATGTAGCAGTCAGCTCTGCTGAGGGTTGTAACAATATTAATATCATGTGTTCCAGGTTACAACGTGACGGTCCTGGCATACGGCCAGACTGGCTCCGGCAAGACCTACACCATGGGGACCAACGGAGACCTCCAGGGGGACAGGTCCTCGATGGGAATCATCCCTCGGATTGTGGAGGACATCTTCTGCAAGATCGCGGCTGTGGAGGATGCAGAGTTCTTAGTCAAGGTCTCCTTCATCGAGGTCTGTATGGACTTTCTGGGTTTTCTAACACCCAGTAGAACTACCTCTCTCTAAATGACAACACCTAGTTGCAGAGCCACAGTTTCCTTTAAGAGAGGTGTCCTCTTACCATAAAGTTGCTGATTAGTAAAAATGGTAATTTTTTGTGATGGAAACTGTCCTTTGTAGAGAGGTTTCCTCTAACGAGAGGAGGTTCTACTGTACTGCCTTTTACAGTAAGAGCTCAGACTTCACATTACTGACTTTTTCATTTTTAAAGAATTCAAAATTCTCGACAAAATTAGCCATTCCCCTTTAATCCCTTTATAATTCAAGAAATATAAAATTGAAAAAAAACTTTCAAATTTATACCTATGGCATCATATACTTTTCAAAATAACAAATATGATTTTACCCACCAATATCAACTGACGGGTAGTAAAAGCTTTAATTTAATTTTATGGTCCCTTAACATTTGTTAAAACAAGGTTTTTACTGTAGATGGAAGTGTGCTGTCCTTTCTTAACAAGATATTATATTTAATTATTATCTCAACGTGGTACAAGCCATGATAAAGTTGGCGACTGCTTTTACTGTAAGTTAACCACATGTATACACATGTGAAAAGCAGTTCTACTTTTGTATTTACGAGTTTGCCAGAGACCCATTTGGTTACTTATGTAACAATCAAAGGCCGCCATTGGAGCATTTTTTTAATTAGAAAAAAAGTGCACAATGTGCGATTCCATCCCGGGTCATAGCAGTGGAAAACCAACGGTTTAGACCACTCATCCACATACCCTCACAAGAAGTATGCGATGAACAAATGCCGGAATTGATGTGGGCAAAAAGCCTGAAATGCGGTGTTGACTTTTCTTGTCCATGCTCCTCGAGTTGTTTTATGATAAGCAGCGGCCTCTCCCAAAGGTCCTGTTTAGTGCATCTCATGCAAGCTAAAATTTATTCTGTAGCTGCAGGTTTCAAGCTACATTTTGGGCAAGTTGGGGTAGATTTTGTTATTGTTTTCTATCTTCAATGGCTTGAGATGGCTTGTTCTAAATCTTGTTAGTGTTGTTTGTTGCTGTCTATTTCTGAGTCCCCTCCTGGGTCCACTCCACTGTACCAGCTGTGCTTTGGGGTTCTTCAGTTCTTATTTTTGTTTTGGCTAGTGGAAAGTAAGTTTATTTTTCTGTGGCAAGGTTTCCTTTTTGCCTTTTTTTTTTCGCTAGTGCATCAGCAGCTTCAATGCAAATGTGTTGAGGATATCCATTGAAGATGAATTTTTAGTTTTTGAAGATAATCAATTATGTTCCTGCTGCTTGACTGAAGTTCCCCTTTGTGATTGAAGGTTGTGAGCTTTAGAAGTACAATGTGCGGCTGTGTCCACAGATCCACAAGGAGGAGCTCTTTGACCTGCTGGTCAGGACAAGGGAGAGCCTCAACATAAGAGAAGATTCAAAGAGCGGAATCCATGTGAGTTCCAATCCCAACTAGTCTAAAAATGAAATTTTTTTGAAAAAGTTTTTTTTGCTTAATTTTTCCCAGTCTGATATATTTTTAGTACTACTATATCCTAGGACTAACATCAAAGCAAGAGCTAACTTTCTTTCACATGTATCCAGTTTAGTTTTATAGTTAAACAATTAGTCTATACATAGGATATAGTAAGGTTTATACTTAGTTTTTAAATGTCATCTGTATTGTTTGAGATTTAGGCACAATTTCAAACCAAGAAGGCTGACTGAGCAGTAATCAATTCTCTTCTACACTTCACTTAAAGAAAGTTCTTCCTGTGCTCTTTCTGAGTCATATTAATCTCTCCATTATCAAAATGGAAAATGGAAGCTGAAGAAATAGGACAAATTAACAGAGAATGCTTCTCA